TTGGAATTTTAGATGTTAAGCAACGCCCTTTTTTTTTTGATGGGAAGAGTCTTTACTTGAAATTTAAACTAAAAAGAGATCCCTATGTCCTTAACATTTTGTGTGGGCCAATAGATACACCCCTGGCAACAGTAGCTCAGAACTTAGTCACGCCTGTGCTCAATATACACTTGCAAATGCATTCTCTTGTCAGAATTCCACAGGATTATTCTACTAAGAATTTTATTAGTAGTAATAAATTATTAATTTATTAGCAATAAATACTACTAATATTATTCTACTAATAGTCCTGTGAAATAGCTAACATTCTTATCCCCAATTTACAGATGAGGAGACTGAGGCTCATGTACCTTATCTGTCTTGTCCAAGGTCCCACAGGTAGCAAGTGGCCTGCATTTAAAGACAGGTCCTCAGACTCCAAACCCATTGTCCATTTCACTCTACAGCTCTCCTTCATAGTGCTGTTTGCCTTTTTTTTTTTGGATGATAGAAGATCCTGACTAACCATCAAAGTTTTAGAGCTAAAGGGGATTTTAGAGGTGATCTAGCCCAACACCCTTGTTTTACGGAGGAAGCTCCAGGCTCACAGATGGTTGCCTGATGGCTCACATTGAGCTGTGTCTCACTCCTTTGCTTTTTCTACTGTATCCTAACCATGATGATAGTTTTTTTTTTTTTTTTTTTTTTTGCTTTATTTCTATCCATTCCCTGTCCCCCTTCTACAGCATCTCATCCTCATTTTGTAACATCACCTTCTAGAAGCCTCCCCTGATCATCCTTCTTCCCCCAGGTTAGGTTTGGTGCCTACTCAATGCAATGTAATAGTCCCTATAGCCTTCCAGATTATAGGATATACCCACTGAGTTGTAATCATCAGTTTACTGATGGATAACAATGGACCTCCCCCTCCACCCATCACCCTGGGGACAGAAATTATGTTTGTTTTGCTTGCCACTCCATACTTGGGGCTGGCACTCAATTGGTGCTCAGAAAATGTTCATAGATGGAAGGAAAGAAGAAAAGGAAGGAAGGAAGGGAGCGAGGACAGCTGACCAGGTGTGACTTTCAGTGTGGGCCCTCTCTTGCAGGGTTGGGGGGTGCCTCCTGAGGGGCTCTTCCTGTTGGGGTCTCCCAAGGGTCAGGGAGCAGGAAAGCCTCTCTGCTGCCTTTGTGGGGCCTGCCCCCTACCTCTGAGTTGTTCTTATTCTTACCAGCAGCCCTTGGAAAGGGAACTGAGCTGAGCAGGGGAGAGATCAAGAGAGATTGAGGGGGAGAGAGTAGAGGAGGGTGTGCTCCTCCAAGACAGGAGAAGAGCACTTAAAAAATGTCACTTAGAATCCCTGAAAGAATAAGCTGTAAAAACAACCACACACTCTCTGCTGGGTGACGCAAGTCAAAGAGAAATGCGATGCAATTAGTCACTGGTTCTGAGTAGGAGGCGGGGAGGGGGCAGGGAGGCAGAATTGGAGAATGGTGAAGGGCTGGGGGGCGGTGGCAGCCTCCCTCACAAACTTTGCATCATCTGCTCAGAGACAGCCTCCGTAGCCCTGGGGAGATGTTATTTCTTTTCTTTCAGCCCTCTGTGCTGGCCAGAGCCCCTCCTCGCCTTCTCCTCTTTCTCTCCCAAGAGGTGGCATCTTCCCCCTTGGCCAACACAGTCTCAGGTCTAGAACTGGGGAGCCCACAGTTTCTTGAGGGAAGGAGGAGGCTGGGAGACCAGAGTTCATGGGATTGTAAAGAGGGGAAACCTTTGACCTTGGGCCCACCCTGTGGACCTCAGCTCCCCACTTTCCTGCCCAGAGTGAAATGTTTTTCCTGTTCAGGACTTCAAAAGGGGTAATTTGTTCACCCTATTACGTACCAAACAGTTATTAAGCAGTCACTATGTGCCAGACCCTGCGCTCATGGAGCTCACAGTTTAAGTCGAAGAGATGGACAAGGCATTAGGCAAATAGGATGCTGAGTGACGGGAAATATGCTGGTGGTTTCCCATTTTATCCATCCATGAAGTAGCCTAGCTGCTGCACATGGGTCTGAAGGAAGGATCCAAAAGATACTTTCTCACAAGGCCCTCCTTGTTTTCCTGGGTAAGGTAGCAGTCAATGATGATTAGAAGTTCTGGGTATTACACGAACCTCACACTGCATGGACTTTTGGGTTCCCGGGCAAGAGAGGTAGATTCAGGAAAGACGTGTCCTAAGGGTACTTTTAGGGGCTGGGGTCATCCTATCTTTTAACCACTGTTATTCATAGCAGCATCAGCACCCCCTGGGAACTTATTAGAAATGAAAATCCATGGGCCCCACCCAAACTTGATGAATCACACTCTCAGGGAGTGGGGGCCAGAAATCTATGTTTTAATAAGAATCCAGGTGATTTCATTGTGCATGGAAATTTGAGATGCACTGTCTAAAGGACTAGCTGAAATTGACTCAAATCCCCCACTCCTCTGTCTTTGGGAAGGTGAGGCCAATGTAGCTCCCTCTCTTGGTTTTTGTAAATTTCAAAAGCTTTCCTAGTCAACAATGGCTCTGATTTCAGGGGCAGGGGTGGGGGAGGGGGAAGGGCTGGGGAGGTTGATAATTCTTGTTATGTATTTAGTGCCATGGACCTTTATCTTCACCTGGGTTACAGCTCTGATAAGGGACACAAGATTTTCTTCTTTTTTTTTTATAAATAAATTTATTTATTTTATTTATTTATTTTTGGCTGCATTGGGTCTTCATTGCTGTGCGCAGGCTTTCTCTAGTTGTGGCGAGCAGGAGCTACCCTTCATTGCGGTGCACGTGCTTCTCATTATGGTCGCTTCTCTTGTTGCAGAGCATGGGCTCTAGTCACGTGGGCTTCAGTAGTTGTGGCACGCAGGCTCAGTAGTTGTGGCTTGTGGGCTCTAGAGCTCAGGCTCAGTGGCTGTGGCGCATGGGCTTAGTTGCTCTGTGGCATGTGGGATCTTCCCAGACCAGGGCACGAACGTGTGTCCCCTGCATTGGCAGGCGTATTCTTAATCACTGCACCACCAGGGAAGTCCCAAAAGCTTTTCCTGATCCGCCTTTTTGCACCTTCACACCTCCCAAATACAGTTCACATGAGGTAGTTGTGCATAGTAGATTTTGCCTTGTGATTTGAAGGCACACTGTGGAAAGGAACATCCCAGCACTGCAGCCAGATAATTTAAAGTCGAATATTTCCCTTCCCTGTCCCTCAAATATATATATTTTTCCTGGCCGTGCTGCACAGCCTGCGGGATATTATTTCCCTGACAAGGGATTGAATCCACGCTCCTGCAGTGGAAATGCGGCGGAGTCTTAACCACTGAAGGGAAGTCCTCCCTCAGCCATTTCTTACAACGTAAGCCCCCAGTGATGTTCCTAGGCCTTCTCTCTCCTCCGTCCTTTTTCTCTTCTCTACATCTAAGTTTCTATGCATTTAACTTGCCAAAGAGCTTAACTTTCTCCTTGTTTCCTTCCAATCCAGTTCTCCAGGATCCCACCTTGCACCACCTAAGAAACTCTGATGATATTTTCACAAACAAAGATAGTTCCTTCCCTAGGAGGTTCTCTGGTGCCATCTGGTAAAATAGTAATTTTCTTTATCCCCCTACATTAGCAATCAAACTTCTTATTTAATCCTAAGGGTGCTCCCACAACCATGGCCTTGGTAACTTCCTATTCCTTTAGGCTGAAGGGTTGTGGTCTGCCCTTTCCACATGAGCATTCTCTCAACCTGGGGTGCTGTCCCTTCATATTACTGACTTGGTTCTGAAGTGGATGCTTCACCCATTAAACAAATTTCTTAACAGTCTTTCCTTCCCTAGCTTGTCCTCTTTTGTTGTTGTTTTTCTCCCAAAGACCTTTGTTCATTCAGCAAACTCTTCTTAAAATTCTTCTCAATCCCTCAATCCTTAAATGCTGCCTCCTTCCCCTACCAGCTCTGACCATTCCCTTCTTTCTGGAAGGAAGAATGTCTCTGACCCCAGCCAGGCCATGAGCACTGCCTCAGTGGTGACTTCTTATGCCCCTCAAACTTGTACCCATTTTACCTCTTCCAAATTATTGATTCAGGGGCTTCCCTGGTGGTGCAGTGGTTGAGAGTCCACCTGCCGATGCAGGGGACACGGGTTCGTGCCCTGGTCCAGGAAGATCCCACATGCCGCAGAGCGGCTGGGCCCGTGAGCCATGGCTGCTGAGCCTGCGCGTCTGGAGCCTGTGCTCCTCAACGGGAGAGGCCACAACAGTGAGAGGCCCGCGTACCGCAAAAAAAACCCAAAAAAACAAAAACAAACTATTGATTCAGTTGATTCAGCTGATGTTATTTAAGCTTTCAGGTTAATAAATGAAGGTAAACCATGTCACAGCCTCATACCCACTCCAGAATAATCATTAATTAGAAAGGAGGACAGGTACTTCACCAGAAAGGAGACTCTACCTTCCATGAATATGTAGAAGCTCATTAAACTTCTGTGCACAGATGGGTGTCAAAGACTTTTTCCATCCTCACCTTCTTGACCTGTCCATCATCTGCAAGACTGTCAACCTCACTCTGTCCTTTCATTCTCTCTTCAAGCTGGTCCTGATGTTGGGTCCTTCCGAGGGTCTTCTCCTTCTATTTTGAGCATCCCTTTGAGTGTTCTTGTCTTGTAAGATGGGCACCTCTACTCCTCGCCCAACTTCTCTTGCCAGGAGTAAGACCAAATATTGGGAATCAGCTAAGCATAATGAGGAACGTGGAGGGCTGAGCCCTGGCCACACTGGAAATCATCTGGGAAAAAAAAACACTGGGGTGTTTCCCAGGACAGGTCCTTTGGGGCACATCAACGAGTAGACAGAGATGAGACTGGGTTTTTCTGCATGAACAAGCAAGGCTCCTCCCTATGACCTACCTCTTCTTGGTCTGGAGACGCCACATCCTTGAAGTGAAATCAACAATCCTTTCCTTAGATCACATCCTTTCCTGATGTGAAGACCAAGAGAGACTGATCATTTGTAATCACCTCTTTCCAGTTGATAACAGACATTGGAACCTTAACCTGGAGGATCTGAAGATCCATGATGAAGAGGAAGAGCATTTCCCTGGGAAACATCTGCCAAGTAAGTCTTTCCTCCAGGGTAGTTGTCAATGAAAAGCCTCCTTATCACTCACCCAGGCACAAAGCCCAGCAGACTGGGCAGGGGTACCAACTGGGAAAGCCAAAGTCATCCAGTCTCCTCCTCACATTTGTAGTGATTGCACATCTAGCCACTGTGGGAGTATTTTTCTCTGTCCCTTGTGCCTCTGCTGCCCCTACCCTCTCATCCATGGGGCTGAACGCTGGGGTAGATTTTCTATCAGTGCAGGGGCACAGATCCTTCTTTTCTTGGAAGGCCTTAAGGAGATGATTATGAGAATGGAGAGAGGGAAGCCAGAAACTCACAGATGTAATGGAACCAGATCTCACTGTCCAGAGATCATTATGCTAGTAGCAGCAGCTGAGATGCTTTCCCTCTGGGATGGAATCTTGGGCTAACATGAATCTAGATAAAAGAATAAGTCAGGCTCTGCTCCATGACCTCTGGGACACATGATCCAAGACTTAGAACTGAGGTGTGGAGGCCAAGAATGGAAAAAAGGGAGCAGACTTTTTCTCTACATTATAGGAAAGCTTAGATTGTAGGGAACCCAAGGACTGGAATGGGGTTGCATCTCTCTCTGTGGTCCCAGAACTCTTGTGGTGCCCAGAACTTAGCAGACCATTTAGTAAATGTTGAATGGATAAAAGAAGTGGCTTGGCTTCAGAGGAGTGTCAGGGAGGAGCTGATGTAGGCAACTACAGCTCAGTCGTCAGGGGCTTCCATTCTTCCTATGTTCCAGCTGTGAGGCCTGATTGAGTCCCGTCACCTCCTAGAGTCCCCAGCTTCCACATCAGCAAAATGGTAAGTGTTATTGACTTCATGGGCTTGCTCTGAAGGTTCAGTGAGATGGCAAGTGTGCAATGGGGGGAGCACATCAAAACCACCCCCATCAAAGAGCAGCATGACAGAGTAAAAAAAGCCCTGGATTTGGAACAGTCTGTACATCCAAATTCCAATTTTTCACTGCCCTTCCAAGCTATGTGATCTTAGGCAAGTTGTTTTATATCTCTGAGCCTCGGTTTTCTCATCTGATAAGAGTATCCATTTGTATTTGTTTTCTATTGCTGCTGCAACAAATCATCACAATCTTAGCGGCTTAAAACAACAGAAATTTATTATCTTACATTTTTGGAGGTCAGAAGGCCAAAATGGGTCTCAACTAGGTTAAAATCCAAGTGTTAGCAGGGTTGGGTTCCTTTCTGGAGGTTCTATGGGAGAATCTGCTTCCCTGCCTTTTCCTTACCCCCATTCTGTACCTTGTGGCCCCTTCCATCCTCAAAGTCAGCACCAGCTGGTTGAGTCTTTCTCACATGGCATCTCTCTGACACCCACTCTTCTTCCTCCAGAATAATTTCCCTATTTTAAGTTCAACTGATTGGTAACCTTAATTCAATCTGCAACCTGAATTCCCCCTTGCATGTAGCATAACATATTCAGAGGTTCTGGGGATCAGGATGGAAACATCTTTAGGGTCCATTATTCCACCTGCCACACCTCAGAGTGTTCTTATGAAGATTAAACAAGACAATACATGTAACCTAGGCCTGTGATGACTTGTGATAATAGTTTAGCAAATTGTGGCAGCTATCACCATCATCATCACCACCATCACCATCATCATCACCATCACCACCACCACCATCATCATCATCACCCCCCCACCATCATCATCATTATCATCACCATCATCATCACCACCATTACCATCATCATCACCACCATACTATCATCATCACCACCACCACCATCACCATCACCACAACTACCACCACCATCATAATCATCACCACCACCACCACCATCATCCTCACCATCATCATTATTCTACAGTCATCTTAGTCCTCATTCCCTCCTTTGCTCTGCAGAAGGAAAGCTTGCCCCTCTGTGAGGACCACCAGGTGTGCTGGGGCAGACGAAGGCTCACAGAGCTCCCTGCATGTCTCGCCCTTGACTTCCTGGCTCACCAAGCCTCCAGCCCCAGCTCTCCCTCTTCCACAGGAGCTGCCCTGATCCTTGGGCCCTCACACAGGGGCCCAGGGACAGCTTCTGCTTCTAGACACCACATCCTGAACGAGGGGGAGACCAGCTTTGTCTGTCCCCCCAGCCCCACCGAACTCTGTCTGCAGTCCTGGTTGGAGAAACGCTCCTGGACACACAGAGCAGTTGTGAGAACACATTTCTCTGGAAGTTCACAGCTCCCCTGGGCTCTTCCTGAGCACGAGGGGCTGCACACAAAACCCCAATGCCAGTTAAAGATGAGTTAACAAAACGGCCTCTTATGTAATCTGCCTGATAATAATGGAACATGATATTCATTCGGGGAGGGGAGAGGATGCCCCTTACTTTCCTCCAGCTGTGGGGAGGAACTCTGTGGACTCCAGGATACTGGTAGAGTGAGGTGAAAGAACTTTGTTGAGAGAGCATGATTTGTGTCCTCCAGCGTTTGTGGGTATAGGGGTTGGGTCTGACTCTTGCGAAAAGCATCTAAAGGCTGGAACTGGCTGGAAATGCCTGTCCTGTCAGAACACAGAGAAAGAGTGAGGTGGGAGGGGCTTGCCCTTTCCAATTCCAGTGAACTTTTTCTGAGTCTTATGAGGGTGATGGGATAGAAGCCATTTGGAAAGGGCTCCATGCAAGATGACTCCCCCAACAAAAAGAGGTTGTGTGGTTGTGCCCCTGGATGTGGGCTCTAGAAGGAGTGGCGAGGCAGTCACCAGAGAGCCCCTTCCCTTGCCCTTCCCACGCCGAGAGAGAGGCTCCCAAAGGGGGAGGGTGGGGCCCTCAAAACCCCTACAGACTCCTACAGCTCCACAGCAAAAACCCAGATAACCCGATTGAAAAACGGGCAGAGCACTTGAAGAGACATTTCTCCAGAGAGGACATACAAATGGCCAACAGATATATGAAAAGATGCTTAACATTACTAATTATGCAACTCAAAATTACAGTGAATTATTACCTCATACCAGTTAAGATGGCTATTATCAGAAAACAAAAAATAACAAGTGTTGGCCAGGATGTGGAGAAATGGAACTCTCATACGTTGTTGATGGAGTGTAATATGGTGCAGCTGCTATGAAAAACAGTATGAAAGTCCCTCAGAAAATAAAAAATAGAATTACCATCTGATCCAGCAATTCCACTTTAGGGTGTACAACCAAAAGAATTGAAATCAAGGTCTCAAAGAGATTATCTGCATTCCCATGTTCATTCCAACATTATTCACAATAGCCAAGATGTGAAAACAACCTAAATGTCAATTGATGGATGAATGGATAAAGAAAACGTGGTATATACATGTAATAGAATATTATTCAGCCTTAGAAAATCCTACCATTTGCAGCAACATGGATGAACCTGGAGGACATTATGCTAAGTGAAGTAAGCCAGGAATCTATAATAGTTAAACTTACAGAAACAGAGAGTAGAACGGTGGTTGCCGGGGGTTGGGGGGAGAGGAAGATGGGGGTTTCTGTTCAGTGGGTATAAAAGTTTTAGTTATATAAGCTGAATAAGTTCTAGAGACCTGTTGTATGCAACATCATGCCTATGGTTAACAATACTTAACGTGCATTTAAAAATGTGTTAAGTATAGGTCTCATGCTAAGTGTTCTTACCGATAATAATTTTTTAAAAAAGCCATCAGTGGCAGACCACAACAGAACCAATCCAATGAGAACTTCTCTGACCCTTATTTCCCCTCCCTCCCTAGCCCTCTATCCTGTTCTTAGAGGCACTAGAAGCAGCTGTGTGAAGGGGGCGGAGAAGGAGACAAGAAGAATGGAGGAACTCACTATGTCTTTGGGCTCCAGGCAGGGGGAATGGAGCCATTTAGATCAGATGAGACCAAAGATTTTCTATTAGACTCTTCCAGCCTTTCACTACATGTAAAAACTGTTAATACCTGAAAATAACCGGAAAACACAGGTGATCTGCTCAATGTACCACGGGCTGAGAAAGGAGGTCAGGCAGTGTCGAGAATAAAACAAAAAGCAAAGGTGTTTGTGTTTGTAAGCCAGCAAGTGCAGCTTGTCTAGGTTGCTGGTTACAGTAATAATTGTTCACTTCATGGTCCTACTCAGGGGTACCTCTTTCTCTCATTTAATGCCTCCCACAGCACCATGAGATGGATCATTGTTTTACTGTTCCACGTTGGATGCAAAAGGCTGGGGCTAACGTGACACATCAAGGCCACTCAGCTGGTGAGGAGCTGAAATTTGCTCTCTGGGTCTGGCATCAAATTGCAGCATGAGCCACGGACACATATCAGTGGGGTGAGCCCACAAAGTCACGTGGCAGGAGACTTCCCTTTTCTGACCTCAGTGGTCTCCTTTCTTTGTCTGCCATTTCCCAGCATTTAGGGGGATGAAGAAGAGGGTCTCCGGGAAGTGTGCTGAGCTTGTCAGAAGAAAGAGACAGAGGACTCAGAAGGTCTTTTCCGACCCCTGCTGTGTTCAGGTTTGCCTGTCTGCCCAGTGACGGTGAGACAGGTTTCCTTGGAGGTGCCCTGCAGTGGCATCAGGGAGTTCTGGAGGAAGCTGGGCTCCAGGTGAGCATGTCAGCTGCCATAATAGGAAAAGCATTGTGCAAACAGAGGCAAGGCCCTGGGTCCTCATCCCTGGCCCACACCACCTCTTGGCCAGGTGACACATCATCTCCCTGAACCTCAGTTTCCCATCCAGAGCCAGAATCCTAGTATCTGCTCTGTCCACCTTCCAGAAGTGTCCGAGAAAGCCCTTTGTGAGCTCTGTGGCTGTCATAAACCTGGGACAAACAATGGCTCGGCATCTCAGGTGGACATTGTCTTTGTTTGGCTAGCCAGCATGCAGGCACACTTTTTATTTGGGAGAATCCATGCTTTGAGAAAATCTTGGTGGGAGGCAGGAACCCACCTTCTACCATGGGAGGCAAAAGATGCCAACCACTTCTTCTCCTGGAATCCACCCCCTTGTCTCTCTCTCTCTCTCTCTCTCACACATGCGCACACATACACACACACACACACACACACACACACACAGCCCTCCTAGTCTGGGCTCCTTGGAGGCCGCTACCTGGACCTGTGAATGTGGAGGGAGTGGTGCAGAGACATAGGAGCAGCAGAGATGAATCACTGGGACAGGATGGCTGAGGAGAGTCAGTAGCCTCACCAGTGGGGTGTTGGTGCCAGGGTGAACTTGGGGAGCTCGTGGCTGCCAGGTCTCTACTGATTTCTGCCAAGTTCTCTAGGGCTGCCATTAGTTCTTCTGATCTCTTTCCAATATACTCCTTTCCTGTATCAGATATACTAACCAGAGTTGGCTTTTATTGTCTGCATTAAAGGACCTGTTGGGTACGGCTTCCATCCGCAGAATTTCAGGGACATTTACACAGACCATTGCCAGCCCTGAATTCCTCCCAAGGAGTTCCCAGAGTCCTTCGGGGCTGTGGTCCAGGACACAGCTTGCCCTCCTGCTTCTCCTTCCTGCATCCCTGATGGCTCCACTGGAAATGTTTGGTGTCTGTCCCTGCACAGGACGTACACACTTTACCTGTCCTCTTTGAAACCTTCTCTTTGCGTTGTGCGGTGGCAGAGACCTCCAGCTTGCAAGCTCTGTGGACAAGCTTTGGTTTCAGTAGGCTCGGTCTGGAATCACAGCTCTGCCACCTACTAACCCATCATGGATGAACTTGTTAACCTCCCCGGCCTTAGCTTCCTCATCTGCACAGTGAGGATAATGATAGCACCTTCTCATAGAGCCGTGGAGGGAATGAAATGAGAGCTCCCACCCGCACCCGATGCTCTCAACCAATGACTAGAG